TCCCTGTCTTGTTCTCTGGTGTTCCCTGACACTCAGATTACAGTGTCATTTATCCCTGTCTTGTTCTCTGGTGTTCCCTGACACTCAGATTACAGTCTCATTTATCCCTGTCTTGTTCTCTGGTGTTCCCTGACACTCAGATTACAGTGTCATTTATCCCTGTCTTGTTCTCTGGTGTTCCCTGACACTCAGATTACAGTGTCATTTATCCCTGTCTTGTTTTCTGGTGTTCCCTGACACTCAGATTACAGTCTCATTTATCCCTGTCTTGTTTTCTGGTGTTCCCTGACACTCAGATTACAGTCTCATTTATCCCTGTCTTGTTCTCTGGTGTTCCCTGACACTCAGATTACAGTGTCATTTATCCCCGTCTTGTTCTCTGGTGTTCCCTGACACTCAGATTACAGTCTCATTTATCCCCGTCTTGTTCTCTGGTGTTCCCTGACACTCAGATTACAGTGTCATTTATCCCCGTCTTGTTCTCTGGTGTTCCCTGACACTCAGATTACAGTGTCATTTATCCCTGTCTTGTTCTCTGGTGTTCCCTGACACTCAGATTACAGTCTCATTTATCCCTGTCTTGTTCTCTGGTGTTCCCTGACACTCAGATTACAGTGTCATTTATCCCCGTCTTGTTCTCTGGTGTTATCTGACACTCAGATTACAGTGTCATTTATCCCCGTCTTGTTCTCTGGTGTTCCCTGACACTCAGATTACAGTCTCATTTATCCCTGTCTTGTTCTCTGGTATTCCCTGACACTCAGATTACAGTCTCATTTATCCCTGTCTTGTTCTCTGGTGTTCCCTGACACTCAGATTACAGTCTCATTTATCCCTGTCTTGTTCTCTGGTGTTCCCTGACACTCAGATTACAGTCTCATTTATCCCTGTCTTGTTCTCTGGTGTTCCCTGACACTCAGATTACAGTCTCATTTATCCCTGTCTTGTTCTCTGGTGTTCCCTGACACTCAGATTACAGTGTCATTTATCCCTGTCTTGTTCTCTGGTGTTCCCTGACACTCAGATTACAGTGTCATTTATCCCTGTCTTGTTCTCTGGTGTTCCCTGACACTCAGATTACAGTCTCATTTATCCCTGTCTTGTTCTCTGGTGTTCCCTGACACTCAGATTACAGTGTCATTTATCCCTGTCTTGTTCTCTGGTGTTCCCTGACACTCAGATTAAAGTGTCATTTATCCCTGTCTTGTTTTCTGGTGTTCCCTGACACTCAGATTACAGTCTCATTTATCCCTGTCTTGTTCTCTGGTATTCCCTGACACTTAGATTACAGTGTCATTTATCCCTGTCTTGTTCTCTGGTGTTCCCTGACACTGTGAAGTGTGATTTGTGTGTCTTTGATTTACCCCTTACTGCAAAGTGTCCTTTATACCTGTGATGTTCTCTGGCACTGTTGAGTGAAGTGTCATCTTTCCCTGCAATGTTGCTTGACACTGTTGAGTGAAGTGTCATCTTTCCCTGGAATGTTGCTTGACACTGTTGAGTGAAGTGTCATCTTTCCCTGGAATGTTGCTTGACACTGTTGAGTGAAGTGTCATCTTTCCCTGGAATGTTGCTTGACACTGTTGAGTGAAGTGTCATCTTTCCCTGCAATGTTGCTTGACACTGTTGAGTGAAGTGTCATCTTTCCCTGGAATGTTGCTTGACACTGTTGAGTGAAGTGTCATCTTTCCCTGGAATGTTGCTTGACACTGTTGAGTGAAGTGTCATCTTTCCCTGCAATGTTGCTTGACACTGTTGAGTGAAGTGTCATCTTTCCCTGGAATGTTGCTTGACACTGTTGAGTGAAGTGTCATCTTTCCCTGGAATGTTGCTTGACACTGTTGAGTGAAGTGTCATCTTTCCCTGGAATGTTGTTTGACACTGTTGAGTGAAGTGTCATCTTTCCCTGGAATGTTGCTTGACACTGTTGAGTGAAGTGTCATCTTTCCCTGGAACGTTGCTTGACACTGTTGAGTGAAGTGTCATCTTTCCCTGGAATGTTGCTTGACACTGTTGAGTGAAGTGATATCTTTCCCTGGAATGTTGCTTGACACTGTTGAGTGAAGTGTCATCTTTCCCTGCAATGTTGCTTGACACTGTTGAGTGAAGTGTCATCTTTCCCTGCAATGTTGCTTGACACTGTTGAGTGAAGTGTCATCTTTCCCTGGAATGTTGCTTGACATTGTTGAGTGAAGTGTCATCTTTCCCTGCAATGTTGCTTGACACTGTTGAGTGAAGTGTCATCTTTCCCTGGAATGTTGCTTGGCACTGTTGAGTGAAGTGTCATCTTTCCCTGGAATGTTGCTTGACACTGTTGAGTGAAGTGTCATCTTTCCCTGGAATGTTGCTTGACACTGTTGAGTGAAGTGTCATCTTTCCCTGCACTGTTGCTTGACACTGTTGAGTGAAGTGTCATCTTTCTCTGCAATGTTGCTTGACACTGTTGAGTGAAGTGTCATCTTTCCCTGGAATGTTGCTTGACACTGTTGAGTGAAGTGTCATCTTTCCCTGGAATGTTGCTTGACACTGTTGAGTGAAGTGTCATCTTTCCCTGGAATGTTGCTTGACACTGTTGAGTGAAGTGTCATCTTTCCCTGGAATGTTGCTTGACATTGTTGAGTGAAGTGTCATCTTTCCCTGCAATGTTGCTTGACACTGTTGAGTGAAGTGTCATCTTTCCCTGCAATGTTGCTTGACACTGTTGAGTGAAGTGTCATCTTTCCCTGGAATGTTGCTTGACACTGTTGAGTGAAGTGTCATCTTTCCCTGGAATGTTGCTTGACACTGTTGAGTGAAGTGTCATCTTTCCCTGGAATGTTGCTTGACACTGTTGAGTGAAGTGTCATCTTTCCCTGGAACGTTGCTTGACACTGTTGAGTGAAGTGTCATCTTTCCCTGGAATGTTGCTTGACACTGTTGAGTGAAGTGTCATCTTTCCCTGGAATGTTGCTTGACACTGTTGAGTGAAGTGTCATCTTTCCCTGCAATGTTGCTTGACACTGTTGAGTGAAGTGTCATCTTTCCCTGGAATGTTGCTTGACACTGTTAAGTAAAGTGTCATTACCCCTGTCATGTTCCATGGTAGTATATGACACTGTATTGTAAAGTATCATTCACCCCAGTGGTATATCATAATAGTGTTACCTGACAGTGTAAAGTGCCATTTATCCCTGCGATATATCAGTCTTCCCTGACACTGTATAGTGTGATTTGTCCCTGTGATATTCCCCTGATGAGAACTAATCCCTTTCATCTTCATTGTCAGGTGAGTCAAGGTGAAGACTGATTCAAAAGCCATGAGACCATGTTTTCAGCTCAATCCAACCCTGAGCTCCCAATGTTCATGCAAGAGTGTGTCCCATCACTTATCTCTCTTAAGAGTCCCATGTCCTCTTGTCCTGGATCCTGTCCTCCAATATTTCCAGTCACAGTCCTTCATGTCCTCTATTTCCAGTCACAGTCCTCTATTCCCAGTCACAGTCCTTCATGTCCTCTATTTCCAGTCACAGACCTCTATTTCCAGTCACAGACCTCTATTTCCAGTCACAGACCTCCATGTCCTCTATTTCCAGTCACAGACCTCCATGTCCTCTATTTCCAGTCACAGACCTCCATGTCCTCTATTTCCAGTCACAGACCTCTATTTCCAGTCACAGACCTCTATTTCCAGTCACAGACCTCTATTTCCAGTCACAGACCTCCATGTCCTCTATTTCCAGTCACAGACCTCCATGTCCTCTATTTCCAGTCACAGACCTCTATTTCCAGTCACAGACCTCTATTTCCAGTCACAGACCTCTATTTCCAGTCACAGTCCTCTATTTCCAGTCACAGTCCTCTATTTCCAGTCACAGACCTCCATGTCCTCTATTTCCAGTCACAGACCTCCATGTCCTCTATTTCCAGTCACAGACCTCTATTTCCAGTCACAGACCTCTATTTCCAGTCACAGACCTCCATGTCCTCTATTTCCAGTCACAGACCTCTATTTCCAGTCACAGTCCTCCATGTCCTCTATTTCCAGTCACAGACCTCCATGTCCTCTATTTCCAGTCACAGACCTCCATGTCCTCTATTTCCAGTCACAGACCTCTATTTCCAGTCACAGACCTCCATGTCCTCTATTTCCAGTCACAGACCTCCATGTCCTCTATTTCCAGTCACAGACCTCTATTTCCAGTCACAGACCTCTATTTCCAGTCACAGACCTCTATTTCCAGTCACAGACCTCTATTTCCAGTCACAGACCTCTATTTCCAGTCACAGACCTCCATGTCCTCTATTTCCAGTCACAGACCTCCATGTCCTCTATTTCCAGTCACAGACCCTCCATGTCCTCTATTTCCAGTCACAGACCTCTATTTCCAGTCACAGACCTCTATTTCCAGTCACAGACCTCTATTTCCAGTCACAGACCTCCATGTCCTCTATTTCCAGTCACAGACCTCCATGTCCTCTATTTCCAGTCACAGACCTCCATGTCCTCTATTTCCAGTCACAGTCCTCTATTTCCAGTCACAGACCTCTATTTCCAGTCACAGACCTCTATTTCCAGTCACAGTCCTCTATTTCCAGTCACAGTCCTCTATTTCCAGTCACAGACCTCCATGTCCTCTATTTCCAGTCACAGACCTCCATGTCCTCTATTTCCAGTCACAGTCCTCTATTTCCAGTCACAGACCTTCATGTTTCCACTGGGCAGTCTGTAAGATGGGCCTGTGTGCCCAATTCAAAACTCTTTGACTTTAAAGTTTGTTTATTTATACTGTGCTGAAGCCAAGACAACCAATGCTTGAATGTTGTTCCACCACTGTTTATTTGCTCCACAATCCCTCCAAATTACAAAAAAAAATGTCAGACTGATCAAAGACCTGAAGAAGCTCAAAAAAAGGTGACAGAATCATTCACGCAGCTTGCACAGCTCCCAGTTCTTGAGCTGGTGGTACAGGAAAAATAGACACAACAAATTTGACACAATAGACAATTAGAAGACAATAGACCTTGCCGAGTCCAAAAGTTTTGGTTGGTGTGTTGACACAAATAAAGATCAAATCTGCATCCAGAATCTCCTGGTCGATATTCGTGGAGAAAAACAAGTTCTGACCTCGGCATGACTTGACAATCTCATCCAAGTTTGGCTGCAAGTGAACCAAAACAACAGTTAATTCCGGCACCATTTTGTACAGTAGTAACATGGATGGCAGACAGTAACTTTGGGAACATCATGTTAGTAATAAATTATGGGAATAGGTGACAAGACAATGGGGATAGATTATGAGAAGTGAGTGTTAAAACAATAGGGATACATGTCTCTCTGACAGATGAATGAGGTTTTAATCTGTAAAAAGACGAGATGATGAGATATAAATCTGAGGTGACATAGACAACTTGACAACTAGTAGAGCCAATCTCCAGCTTCCTGACAACATCAGGGATGGGTCGCATGCCACAACCAGTGTCCATATGGCTGCAATAGTTCTCCTGTTTGGTTTTCTTAACCAGCTTCTATTGTACAAAGTGATGTATTACTGCCTTTATTACCACCAGGCTGAGGATTTATGGCTGCATGGCTAGTGCTGTCGCCACGGACTGTGCATGTAATTAAAGAAACACTTCTAAGGAACCTGTGTGGAATACACAGACATACTGTCTCATAAAAATAGACATACTGTCTCTGCGAAACAAACACCCAAACATACTGTCTCATAAAAACAGACATACTGTCTCTGCGAAACAAACACACAGACATACTACTGTCTCAGTAAAACAAACACTTAAACATACTGTCTCAGTGAAACAAACACCCAAACATACTGTCTCGGTGAAACAAACACCCAAACATACTGTCTCAGTGAAACAAACACCCAAACATACTGTCTCGGTGAAACAAACACACAGACATACTGTCTCAACGAAACAAACACTTATACTGTCTCAGTGAAACAAACACCCAAAAATACTGTCTCAACGAAACAAACACCCAAAAATACTGTCTCAACGAAACAAACACCCAAACATACTGTCTCAACGAAGCAAACACCCAAAAATACAGTCTCAATGAAATCAGTACTAACCTCAAAAATAGGCAAGATGTCCGAGTTCCATTGAGCTATTCTGTGGGCACTCTGATCGACCACAGTGACCCGCAGGTCTGGACATTTGTGGGCGATGACAGCGCAGGAGGGGCCCCCAACATAGCCGGCGCCAATACAGCAGATCTTGCTGACAGCCATGTCCAAGTGTCTGGCTGGGATCTGGGGGTGATGATCGATCAATTGTGTCAGTGTTTTCCCCCTCCAGTACGTGAGAGCATTCTAATCAAGTACTTTAAAGGATGCATGATAGAAACAGTGTGGGTTTACATTCACAGGTACATAACAGAAAGAAAGAAAGAAAGAAAGAAAGAAAGAAAGAAAGAAAGAAAGAAAGAAAGAAAGAAAGAAAGAAAGAAAGAAAGAAAGAAAGAAAGAAAGAAAGAAAGAAAGAAAGACAGAAAGAAAGAAGAAAAGAAAGAAAACAACGAACCTACCTGCACTACGGAGAGTTGATCCAGGAATAAAAGGTCTATGAAAACCCCGACAAGACACCCAAGTTGTAGAGACTAGAGTGACGCAAACGATCCCCGAAATGCAGGGAAGTGTAACACAGGCAATCCCCCCTTTCAAGCCACGGGCACACCCTGGTATCTCTGGTCTATTTATATCACACAACAAATCAGCGAGCCGTGTCGCAGCCTATCACCGCCCATAGAATATTGCGTGTTGACTTCTCCCGCAAGGTGACGTCAGAATTCTCCTAACTCGGGCATCCACCTACGCCGGACTACTAGACTGCCGGTAGTACACTAGGGCATCCACCCACACCAGACTACTAGATAGCCGGTAGTACACTCGGGCATCCACCCACGCCAGATTACTAGACTGATGGTAGTACACTAGGGCATCCACCTACGCCAGACTACTAGACTGATGGTAGTACACTCGGGCATCCACCCACGCCGGACTACTAGACTGCCGGTAGTACAATAGGGTATCCACCCACGCCGGACTACTAGACAGCCGGTAGTACACTAGGGCATCCACCCACGCCGGACTACTAGACTGCCGGTAGTACATTCGAGCATCCACCCACGCCGGACTACTAGACTGTAGTACACTCGGGCATCCACCCACACCGGACTACTAGACTGCTGGTAGTACACTCGGGCATCCACCCACGCCAGACTACTAGACTGCCGGTAGTACACTCGGGCATCCACCCACACCAGACTACTAGACAGCCGGTAGTACACTCGGGCATCCTCCCACACCGGACCACTAGACTGATGGTAGTACACTCGGGCATCCACCCACACCGGACTACAAGACTGCTAGTAGTACACTAGGGCATCCACCTACGCCAGACTACTAGACTGTCGGTAGTACACTCGGGCATCCTCCCACACCGGACCACTAGACTGATGGTAGTACACTAGGGCAAAGTTCTACAGGCCAGCTTTACTTTGCCCGACATTTTCTAGCAGCCATGTAGCTGGGACGACCTAGGAGCTACAGTCTCCGCTAATCCCTAGATGACAGGTTGTGTAGGTGCTGGCACAGTCCCCGCTAGTTCCTAGATGACAGGTTGTCCAGTGCTGGCACAGTCCCGGCTTATCTCTAGATGACAGGCTGTATAGGTGCTGGTACAGTCCCTCGTAATCTCTAGATGACAGGTTGTATTAGCGCTGGTACAATCCCCGCTTATCCGTAGATGACTGGTTGTACGGTTGCTGGCACAGTCCCCTTTAATCCCTAGGTGACAGGTTGTACCGGTTCTAGCACAGTGCCTGCTAATCTCTAGATGACAAGGTGTACCAGCGCTGGTACAGTCCCGCTAATCCCTAGATGACAGGTTATACCGGTGCTGGCACAGTCCCCGCTTAACCCTCGATGACAGGGTTTACCGGTGCTGGTACAGTCCCCGATAGTCCCTAGATGACATGGTATACCTGTGCTGGCACAGTCCCCTTTAATCCTTAGGTGACAGGTTGTACCGGTTCTAGCACAGTGCCTGCTAATCTCTAGATGACAAGATGTACCAGCGCTGGTACAGTCCCGCTAATCCCTAGATGACAGGTTATACCGGTGCTGGCACAGTCCCCGCTTAACCCTCGATGACAGGGTTTACCGGTGCTGGCACAGTCCCCGATAGTCCCTAGATGACATGGTATACCGGTGCTAGCACAGTCCCCACTAGTCCTTATATGACAGGGTATACCGGTGCTAGCACAGTCCCCGCTAGTCCTTATATAACAGGGTATACCGGGGCTAGCACAGCGCCCGCTAGTCCCTATATGACAGGGTATACTGGTGCTGGCACAGTCCCCACTAGTCCCTAGATGACAGGGTATACCGGTGCTAGCACAGTCCTCGCTAGTCCCTAGATGACAGGGTATACCGGTGCTAGCACAGTCCTCGCTAGTCCCTAGATGACAGGGTATACCGGTGCTGGCACTGACTGACTGACTGACTTTCTACCCCACAAGGACATCATACAAGCGATAATCACCCGATGACACAAAGTGCCACCACGTGGATGAGGATCGCCGTTGAGAGATCACAGAAACCGCGTTCAGACAATTGGCCATATTGATGGCCTGCCTATATTGCGGCCCCTGGCAAATCCCAGAGTGGGGCTTCAAATAACACAAAATTACTTCCTAAAAAGGACGAGACTTCGATTGTTCACACTCCGGCGGAAAGTTGTGGTTCTTCATCAACTTCTGGGCTTCAAGAACTGTTTGAGCACAGGAGTTTTCAGCCGGTGAACACTAAACAGAAGAAGAAGACCCATGAACTAACTAAAGTTCGGGCATCGCCAGATCTGATGTAGTTTCAGGTCATGTCCACCGAGAGATCGCCAGGTCTCTTTGATTCCACCAACAGAAGGCTTTGAGGGCTGTCCCGAGGGAGACAATTCGGTTGTCATGATCTTGGCAGGTTAACGTAGGCTCCACAGTTAGTTCTCTTCACCGATAATCTCCGCTTATGAACAGTATTCTCATCATCATGTTCGTTTTCTTCGTAGCGCCCCCCTCCTCCCCTCCCCACAAGAGAAACTACACGGGGGGAAAGAGGTATGATAATGCTGGATGTGCTGGTTTCTTACTGTGACGCAAACTAGTGCCCGGGAAAAAAGAGAAGTGGATTGTGCGAACACATGGGCTGGGTTGTTTGTCTTCACATACTTTTCGTGTTGTCTGCCGGGGAGTCAGTCTCCATATCTCCCATTATAAATGTCCATAAATGGCCATCAATGTTTGCGTACACTGCACAGAGGCGAACTAGACAGAAATTAGGCACAGTCTCCACGCAAAGGTGCCGAAACCTGGTGGCACAGTCCCCTAAAGGCCCCCTCCCCCCCACCGTGTTTTTGTGTGACTCGGCGCCGCTGACTGCAGGAGTCGTCTGAGAGGGACGTGTCAGAGGGAGAGCTTTGGAACACAATGCTTCCTGAGAGACGTGTCAGAGGGAGAGCTTTGGAACACAATGCTTCCTGAGAGACGTGTCAGAGGGAGAGCCTTGAAACACAATCCCAGGGAGGGACGTGTCAGAGGGAAAGCCTTGAAACACAATCCCTCCCGAGGGACGTGTCAGAGGGAGAGCTTTGGAACACAATCAAAAGGAGGGATGTGGCAGAGGGAGAGCCTTGGAACACAATCGATACAGAGGGACGTGGCAGAGGGAGAGCCTTGGAACACAATCTCAGGGGGGGGGGGGACGTGGCAGAGGGAGCATAAGAACTGTAACTGGAGCAAGCAACATCTACACCTGGACACATCTGTCGGTCGAGGGAGAAGCCAAATCTATAAGTTTGATGCAAAGATAAATTCGAGCAAAAGCAACGTTTCTTCCATTGTAGACAGTGGTGTTGTGTTGCTGATTCTGCTGTTACATTTTTATGTTTTGTTTTGTTTGTTTGTTGATGGCTATTGCCTCCAGACATTCCTATATTCTAAACTTTAAGGCAAGGCAACGAAAGACAAAAAGCACATTTATATTATATTTTGGCAGGTAGAATACAACACAAGCCAACGAGCCAGACAAAGAGCACGTTTATTCCACTGCTTTACAATTTCCGCAGACTTGCTTCGACGTCTGCTACAGCTAGCCAACGTTTCACCGTTAACCTCATGAATGGAGCTCATTTCTGCTGGCAGTGAGTGCAAGGACCTGTGTGCGTTTCTACAGCTAAATATAGCACCGTTTCTTCACCTGTATTTGCGTGCTGCTCACAGACAAGTCGCGTGTTCTCTTTGAGCTGAGCGTGTAGTTGAAACTTGGAACGCGCTGAGCCCAGAGAGGCTTACAAACAGTAGAACTGTAATTACTGGTGTCCATTCAGAGGCTCGCAAACAATAACACGTTTGTTACTGATGTCAGTGGCCCGTGTAGAAACAGTCAGACACCATGAACGTTTCAACACACACGACCATGTCTAACTTGGAGTCAGAGGTAAGTTTCATTCACTTTGTCCGGCTTGTTGATTTATCAGTTGGGCAGCTTTAACCATTGATGCAATCTCTAGCTCCATGATCGACTTCTTTTGTCTTGCGCCGTTTATCCCCCAACCAACTCACCCAAGTTTGTCCTAACGGCACCCGCCAGTCCCCAGGGATATCCCCCCAACCAACTCACCCAAGTTTGTCCTAACGGCACCCGCCAGTCCCCAGGGATATCCCCCCAACCAACTCACCCAAGTTTGTCCTAACGGCACCCGCCAGTCCCCAGGGATATCCCCCCAACCAACTCACCCAAGTTTGTCCTAACGGCACCAGCCAGTCCCCAGGGATATCCCCCCAACCAAATCACACAAGTTTGTCCTAACGGCACCCGCCAGTCCCCAGGGATTCCCCCCCCCCCCCGAACCAACTCACACAAGTTTGTCCTAACGGCACCCGCCAGTCCCCAGGGATATCCCCCCCCCCCCAACCAACTCACCCAAGTTTGTCCTAACGGCACCCGCCAGTCCCCAGGGACTATGGCTTTGGGAACAGCATCTGCTGTGCCGGTCAAGTCCGATGCGGGAGTGGCGGTCTCTGTCACACAGGAAACACAAAAAAGTAGATACTCCCCGAGCTATGAGGTTGATTTGTCCTTCTAGCGTCTCCTCTCTATAGCTCGCCGTGTTTGGTTTCTTTCAAACTGCGACAAACCATCTTTCAATTTCTGTCGCCATAGTACTCGATCTGCAG